GAGAGAGAAAGAAATTGAAAAAAATAAAAAACCCTGCCATATTTGAAAGAATTAAGTTCAACTATGGTCAACTTTAAATTAAAAATGCATTTCGCACATAATAGAGAAAAATGCTCAAAAAGGGTTTTATATCTGGAACCAACCCTTGAAAACTTACTCACATTTCTTTTTTTTTTTAACATTTTTTATTGATTTATAATCATTTTACAATGTTCTGTCAAATTCCAGTGTTCAGCACAATTTTTCAGCCATACATGCACATATAAACACATATTGTCATATTTTTTTCTCTGTTAGATACCATAACGTTTTGTGTCAATCTCCCTGTGCTATAGAGTATAAACTTGTTTATCTATTCTACAATTTTGAAATCCCAGTACCTATTTTTAATCTGAGCATCGAACTCCAAAACCTCGTGGCATTTCTCTTCCCTTTCAATGTATATCTCTCAATAAATCTACCTTTTCTCAACAGTGGCTTGCTTTTGCATTCTTTCCTGCATGAAACCAAGGACCCACATCTAGCGGGGCACATCCCAGGGGCTCAACCAAAGCCTGGGACACAGCCCTTCTCATGACCCACGTTTATTCTTGTATCAACAGGACTGGGATGTGAAGGGAGCTCGGAGGCCCCAACTAAGGGACAGAAGCAGCCCCAAGAGCTCGAATTTGCGGGCAGACCCTCCCCCAGCAGGGGCCTGCGGTCTGCCCGGTTCTCTGTGGCTTCCTGTTGTGCTGACTCCCCAGTCAGTGAGTGTTCTCCCTAGGCCTGTCCCCACAGAACCCTTCTCTCCAAAATACAAGCACACCATGTCACAGTCCTTTTGTTCAACCAGGAAATGTTCAGCCCACGTTTTCCTTCCCCAGTAAAAACCTAACTGTCCTACCTCCGATCCCACCACTTATTTCTTTGTGAGAACTCTGCACTCCCCACACACCATCCTGAACGCAGGTGCCTTGCTGGCTGGGGCCGAGATGTTTCAGTCTCACACAGCCTGTGTCCTTTCACTTTCCACTTGCTACCTTAAAAAAGCCTTTCCTGAGTCACCCACAAATCTGATTCTGAACTTCAAAAAGTGCTGAGGTTACAGTCACTATGTGAATACATCCCAGGTTTTGGCTAGGTTTCCTTAGTAAGATCTTCATTAAGGAGCTGCATCAAGACGTTTAAAGAGGCTAGTCTTACATCTGAGCGGAGGAGCCTGCATAAAATTTAAATGGCTTTGAAGAGAGAGTTAACCAGGGACAGACAGGTCGCAGGTCCTAGTCAAAAGTGTCATGAGGCAAAATGTTCTTCCAAGGCTCAGAGTGGCTTCTGAACACGGAGTCAGCAGGGAGGAGGTGCCAGGCAGTGAGTGGGGTGAGTGACACAGGGTACGCTCCCCCAGCTGGGGAAGAATTGGATTTTTTTCTAGTTTTCCAAACAATTTCTTACTACCTCTTTCTCCTATTGTCACATACCATTTCCTATGAATTAAGAAAATCAATGTAAGTCATTTGGGCCACTTGGGAGAAGCTACAGGATGCCATCCACAAGGCTGGGGAATGACAGCCAAACCAGTCTAGCTTGAAAGACCAGTGGGGGTATTTCCAAGGTGATCACGGGCATGCAGCAAACTCCCCAGCTTCAATGACCTCATCTCAAAGGTGGGGCCAATTAAACTACCAAGCAAAGTGCGTGATGATTATGGCCGACATCTGTTTACTAGGTAAGTGCCCGTGACAGATGCCGCTTAATGGGGAATGAATATGATCAGCGATGCCCAGTCTACCTGGACACACGCGCCCTGCCTTCCTGCCTTGGTGCAGCAGCAGAGTTTGTTTAGCTGAGATGAACGCCCCCAGAGCAGCCCCAACGGGAAAGCTCCCAGCTTTGTACGGCGAGACGTGTTCCTTTCCTTCTCAGAGCTGATCACAGTTTGCAGTCGTCTGTTTTTATGTTTATC